GGGTTGGGGGTGGGGTGCAGGAGGGAGTGCGAGGTGTGGCTGAGGGTTGGGGTGCAGGCAGGGGGCTCATGGCAGGGGGGTGGGGTGCAGGAGGGAGTGCGAGGTGTGGCTGAGGGTTGGGGTGCAGGCAGGGGGCTCATGGCAGGGGGGTAGGGTGCAGGACGGCATTGAGCTCTGGCCCGGAGCCACTCACCTAGAGAAATAGCCCCGCAGGCCGCGTGTTGGAGACCCCTGGCCTAGACAGACACTCAGGTATTTCCATCAGCCTCCTCAATGGCAAATGCAGCCACCCAAAGAAGGGAAGAAGAACAGAAGTGAGAGTAAAGCTGGACCATCCGCTGAGCTGCTGCAATCAAGTGAGCAGAGCCGGGGAGAGAAGAGGGAGAACTCGAAGGTGGCTGGCGGCAGTAGGGAGGAGAAGCAGTTTGGGAGCCAGGAGAGGAGAAATAAATAGTTAATGACAAATCCTGCAGGCTTTCTCTTGTGTGGTGAAGGGTCGAAAAGGGGTCTCTTTACTATCACGCTAAACTTTAAAATAGCTGTGTATGATGGGGGAGGGGTCTATAAAGGTACGAGGTCACTCTAGGGGCTTGAAGTCCCAGATCCTTGGGCTATTGCATCCTTCTACCAGCTGATCTCAACCCAGCAACTCCCTCAGATGGTAGCAGTAGTGAGCTCTTGTCCTTTTCTGGACGAGCCACCAGAAAAAGCACACAGTACATGTGGCCAAGGAAATAGAGGCAGTGTTGCCTGTTCATATGGCTCTTGTGGGGGAACACGGCAGGTTACGCTGGACTAGGTAGGAGCCACGTCTCCAAACCTGCACGTTCCGAGGCTCCAGAGACCTCTCTCCAGATCCCAGAGCTTCCTCAGAGCCCTAAAGAGCCAGATGGAATCTGGCCTCTCTCCCCGCACCGCAGCAGTCCAGAAAAAGTTCTGTGTAGACATGTTGTGTCCTCTTCTACCACACTGCCCTGTTGGCAACTAATGCAGTCACAGAGTCCAGGCTCGGTTTGGTCACAGAGATCTCCTTGGGACTGTCACCTGATGTTCTGAAATTACCTCTGAGTACATTTTCCCTACCAGCTTGGCACTCCAGAACCCTGCCTTGTTGAGCCAGAGGGGCTAGCCTGCTGCAGCACAGACCCAGAATTTAACTAAAAACAGCTCAGCAGGTTACCTATCTCCAGCACCCAGACACCTAGCTCTGAATGGGATCCAAACCCTAAATAAATCTATTTTACTCTATATAAAGCTTATACAGGGTAAATTCATAAATTTTTCACCCTCTATATCACTGATAGAGAGATATGCACAGCTGTTTGCTCCCCGAGGTATTAATCACTTACTCTGGGTTTATTAATAAACAAAAGTGATTTAAGTGGTTTCAAGTAATAACAGACAGAACAAAGTAAGTTACAAAGCAAAATAAAACAAAACACTCAAGTCTAAG